TTTTATTTTTTTTTTGGTTTATTTTATTTTTATTTATTTACTTTTTGGTGAGGAAAATTGGTCCTGAGCTAACATCTGTTGCCAATCTTTCTCTTTTTGCTAGAGGAGGATTGGCCCTGAGCTAACATCTGTGCCCATGTTCTTCTATTTTGTATGTGGGACACCACCACAGCATGGCTTGATGAGTGGTGTATAGGTCTGTCCCTGGGATCTGAACCCATGAACCCTGGGCGCCTGAAGCAGAGTGCACTAACTTAACCACTACACCAGCAGGCCAGCCACTTAATATATTTTATAAAGAAAAGCACAAGCCATATTTGTGCTTACTATGTAATTGCTAAATGAATAAATCAGATTATTAAGGAATAATTCAAGGAAAATATCATTTACTCCCTACTTGGCAGTTGTTTCTTAACTTGGCAGTTTTTAAAAATTGACTTAAAACTTCCGTAGAGGGTTCATGTTATCAAATATATTACCATTTCAGCAGTTTAACTCTGTCCTGTGTTGTTAGATCAGTTTTCCTGTCTTAGGAATTTTTCATTTATCTTCAGTTATTCCTGGAATAAATAACTTGTTTTTGATAATTTCGTTTTCAAATATTCATCACACAAAGCTCTTGCTTCTTTGTGAGCCAGAGCAGCAATCAAAACCCTCTCTTATGTGAGCTGAGTAATTATAATGAATGAAATACTTCAGAGCAACACAATGGTAAAATTCACAAAGACTTACTACTCACATCTGCAACTTTGTGTGAAACCAGCAAAACTGTGCCCGTTATCTTTTTTATTTTCAGCTCTTAGTTCTCTTCTATTGGTTTTCTGGAGAGCTCAAATAATTGCTTGATGCATAGCATTCATATCTGTTTACTCTTACTTTTCCAAGTTCCTTGTGATTGCCTAATTGAGGAGATTGCCTTCCAACCAAGAGTCACTTGATCAATTCGTCAACAAGTTGTTTTTGAGGACTCATGATATGTCATGGCACCTAAAATAAGAGGAAGAATTTACCTGTTAGGAGTCATTGCTTTATCTCTCTCTCATTTTCTTTTGCTTCAACTAGACTGCTGTTTCTGAAAATAAAGTTCATAATAGACATATATCATAATTTTATGGGATGAACGCAAAATGCCGTACCTCAGACCTACCTCTGCAGAAGCACTAAGATATCTAGAAATTTGCCTTTTAACAGGCAGCTAGGTGATTCTTAGGTGTGATAAAAATCTGAGAATCACTGTCCTAGAATTAAATGCTTCTCAGAACTTAATTTGCATGTGAATTACCTAGGGATCTTCTTAAAATTTAGATTCTCTTTTTGTAGGTCTGGAGTGGGGCCTGAGATGCTACACTTCTAACAAACCCCAGGTGATATGATGTCTCAGAGCTCACTTTCAATTGACTGCCCTATAGGCAAGGCTTAGACAAACTATTCTGTTTCTGGTTCTGGGCAGATGTGACAGAGTTACCAAGACAAAGTGCCTTAATGCCCTCAGTCGTGCTTGTTGTTTTGGAAAAAGAAGTATTCCATGTCTGTTGAGCTTTTAGATCCTGAAAGCAAATAACTGATCAAGTAGAAAAGACATAGTCAGATAAAGAAATTGTCTTACAATAAAACACACTGCAAGAAAAAGAAAAGAATGAAATGGTATTAGCCATTGGATTACTGCCATTGTGCAGGAATGGAGGGTCTACTTTTGGGACCTTAGAGGATGAGTAGTCTATACCAGCCTAGATGTCACAGTTTTATACTCAGATCACACCATCAACATATCTAAAGACAATGGTGCCCATCCTTTTGCTATTGCTGAGGTTTTCCATTGGCCAGAGTCCATTGGGACCATCATTATGTCAAGGTCCTTGGACCCTTGACCACTTATACTCTTATCTATGAGCTGTAGGATTTCTTCTCTTCTTTGATGAGAGGCAGGGGCATTGAAGAAACATTTGAGGTAGAACTAGAGAAATATTGAATATCCTTCTAGCCTGAGGTTGAGGAGCCTACAGAGAGGAGCATGTTGAAGATATAGAAGAAGTTGGCATAGCTAATGAAACAGGGTTCTAGAGGATATGATCAGATGATCAGTTAAAGAGAGAGTGGTAGCAGCTTGCCTTTCTTGGCATAAGAAGGAGGCAGATAAAGATGGGCACAGAGAGGAGTAAGGTTGATGACAGATAATGTCCATTGTCAACCTACAGAAATTTGGAGAAGATTATTGCTAAGAGAATTAGCCAGGAGATATTTTGAGGAGGAAAGTGAATTGAGTCAATACCATTTAATGTGGCCGAGTGGTATAAGAAGAAGAAAAAAATTAATTTTGGCAACTTCTGAATTACCATAGCAAGAGATCAATTTAAGAGGACTCTGCTATAGGAGATATGGGGATAAAAGCAAACTTTAGTGGACTGAGAAATGAATGGCCTACCCCAGATCTAGTGTCAGCCTGTATATCAAATCTGAGGCACAGATAGGTCACTGCTATGTCTCTCTGTTATTTACATCATCTTTTATGTTCTTCATTAAAATTTTTATCATTTTCTGTATGTTGCATTCTATATTTTGTGTTACATGTTATGGTTATCTCTGACAATATCAATGTATGGTTATTGTGAATGGGATATTTAAAATTAGATCTTCTCATTCATTACTGCTGTTCTATCAGATTTTTGTGGTTTATCTAGTATTTACCCACCTTGCTCTTTGCACTTACAGTAGTTCTAGTATTTTGTCTAATTTTTTTGCGTTTTCTTGATACAGTCATGTTCTCTATAAGTACTGACATAATTTAGTGTCTGTCTTTCTATTATTATGTCTCTTCTTTCCTTTTCTTTTCTAATTTGTTGACTTTGTCCTCCAGTAAAGCACTGAACGGCAATGAGGAGAGTTGATAAGTTTTTCTTTATTCTAAACTGACTAAGACACGAGCGTTGATGGAGCCCTGTCATTTTCCTTCTCTCTTTCATCCCTTCGTGGTCTTCCACCTGTGAGTAAATGAGAGCTTTTACTGAAAGAGGGCTGAATTGATTTGCTTCATTTGAAAGTAATCACATTTTTCTTAAGGAACTTTCCGGTAATGTTCCATGTTTATTTTTTTCCACATAACCGACACTTTATACTGACTTGTTATTATGAGCATTACCTAAACTGTGCCTAATACAGTAATACACCATGAGATAACTAAAGAATTGGAATTTGTTTGCCTTTACAGAAAATGAACTCACGATACAGTCATTTAGCTATTTTGGTACTTACTATCAACTTCCCCTCCCCAAAACTGACAATATGCCTAAAGTTAAAAGCTCCATCTCCACTCTATTTTTTATATTTTAAGAAGACTGAACAACTAGATCACAAAACTCCTCAGATTTATGTATAAAATGAGAATAAGAATATTCTCTCAGTGAGAATAGGAATATTTTCCTTCGATAAAGATCCTTGCCTAAATCAAGATTTTTGAGATGTTTGCTATGGGCTTAAGGGGCTTCTGTGCTTGTTTCCAGGTATTGGCTGTTTGGGGGGAGTGCAGGTTCCTGGAAGAGCACTGTGTTAATTAATGTGTGAGAGTAAATCCTCATTAAGCAGAGCACTCTTGTAACTCGAAAGCAATCTTTGTGACAGGCTCTTTCTTCTGATGTTTGCCTTAATGTGGGTAGAACTGAAAGAACTCTAATGTGTTACTGACTGCATACTCTTTTTATAGTTAACTACCGTTATCTGACAGTCCTATTCTTAATGATCTTACCTTTCTTTTTTTGTCTAGTGTTTGTACTTAAATGTCCTTTGAGTCCTTTTTTAATTCACCGTATCTAATTATTTAGCAATCAAAAGACAGTTGAATATGATGGCTCCCAACACTGCATTAACCACTTCTTAACTCTTGGTTCTACCTGTGTTCATCATCTTAGTTCACATTTATTCAGTACTTTTTTCTTCTCGTGTTATCTCCTGCCTCATAAACTGACTGGACATTAATCATAACTTTGACTAATCACTTTTCTTGCTCTCCGATTTGGAGTAAACTTAAAACTACACAATTTGGGAATTTTCTGTGCACTAACTTTCTTGATAACTCCCAATAAAATCTTTAGTCTGTTAACGAGGACAAGTGTCAATGAAAATAAACCACAGCACCCACATTCTTCGGAAGCTGATAAAAAATGCAGAGGTAAAGATGACTAGCAAATTCTGTTGAACACAATATGGAATAGTTACGTTCATTTCCCTCCCAAACTTCTCACTGGTGGAAAATAAAGGTTCAGAAGTCTATAAGAAACAACAAGTTGTTTAAAAGATATTAAAAGCTTTGTTAGCAGATTAAATAGCTCTCCATATAGTGTTCAAAGAAGTTTGGCAGCTGAGATATGCATCCAAAATATGATACTTAGAAAAAAGTGATAATGCACATTTAATTTCAATTCTGGAAATTTTAGCAGGTTAACCAAATGTTGAGACTGAATCATTCAGTTCCTTCAGATCAAATTTACATTTTGTTTTTATAAGATGAAATCACAAGTGGCAAAATTCTTCAGGAGTCCTTGGTAAGTGACGCTTCTGTGATGAGTGTTGATGGCCCACTGTTAATTAAGTTCTCATTCACCTTGGTGCAGACTTTTGGCCTAAGGACTGGGTATTACTTCTCCTAACTCAGTGCTCAATGGCAATTCCACGTTTTATTTTATTTTCTTTCCTCCCTGAAGCTGGTTACTCCAGCTAGCACTGGACTTGTCAATCTGTGAAAGCACAACCTCTGGTGAACTGGAAACTCAGCTTCTGGCAAGTCTGCTCTTCTTACTTAATTCACATGCTTTTTCTTTTCAACATGAAATAAATGCCTGTTAGTTTATATGCTAATCCGCATAATTCTACTTTTTCTTTAAGATGAGGCTATATGATGTGCATTCCTGCTTTAATAAACAAGGAGTACTTAAAAATTATGAGATGATACTATGTTATTACTAGGCAGTTGTGTAAAGTAATTTTACACTTGTTCTTTTATATTTAAGGTGACGACCCTTGTCAACACAAGCAATAAAGGCCCCTCTGGTAAAAAGAAAGGGAGGTCAAAGAAAGCCCATGTACTGGCTGCGTCTGTAGAGCAAGCCACTCAGAACTTCCTGGAGAAGGGTGAACAGATCGCTAAGGAGAGTCAAGACCTCAAAGAAGAATTGGTTGCTGCTGTGGAGGATGTGCGTAAACAAGGTAGGCAGAAGCATAGTGTTCAAGGGGAATGTAAGTCATGTGCAAATAATGATATTTTTCTCTAGAATGAATGCATATTTGCTCAAAGGAGTGGTCTATTCTGTTTCCCTTTCTATCTACACTTTTCATTTTTAATGTGTGCTGGCATTAAGTGCATAGGCAAATAGAGATGTTTTTATGGTGGCAGTATAGCCCAGATACAAACACTCCATGTCCTCTGTTAACTCCAGATCTTCAAGTTGTTTTCTCTTGGTGGATAAAAACAGACTCTTGTGCCAAACTCAAGCTTTTAGGGAGGATAGGATGAGAATGCCCCGTACTTATAGAGTCGTTGAAAACCCAGGATTTTAAGGATGAAGGGAGGAGAAGAATGTAAAGCAATGTAATAAAATTATTGTTACTGTGTATGATCCCCAAATTTATGTATTTGGTTTACAGCTTTCCTCAAAAATCTAGTTAGCTAGCTAGTTGTCAATCGATCAACCAGTTATATAGCTGGCTAGTCAGCTATAAGGCTTTTTATTCAGCATATTTAAAATTTTTTAATTTTGGTAAAATACACCTAACATAAAATATATCATCTTAACCTTTTTTTTTTTTTTTGAGGAAGATTAGCCCTGAGCTAACATCTGCTGCCAATCCTCCTCTTTTTGCTCAGGAAGGCTGGCCCTGAGCTAACATCATGCCCATCTTCCTCTACTTTATATGTGGGACACCTGCCACAGCATGGCTTGTCTAGCGGTGTCATGTCCACACCTGGGATCCGAAATGGCGAACCCTGGGCTGCCAAAGCGGAACATGAGCACTTAACTGCTGCACCACTGGGCCAGCCCCATCTTAACCATTTTTAAGTAAACGGTTCAGTAAGATAAAACATATTCACATTACTGAGTAGCCAATCTCTAGAACTCTGTCTTGCAAAACTGACACTCTATACCTGTTAAACAACGACTACCTATTTACACCTCCCCCAGCTCCTGACAACCACTATTCTACTTTCTTTTTCTATGTTTTACTACTCTAGATACCTCATATAAGTGGAATTATACAGGGTTTGTCTTTTTGTGACTGAATTATTTCACTGGGCATAATGTCCTCAAGGTTCATCCATGTTGTAGCATGTGTCAAAATGTCCTTTATTTTTAGGGCTGAATAATCTTCTATTGTGTATATATACTACATTTTCTTTATCCATTCATCCATTGATGGACATTTGTATTCCTTCTACCTTTTAGCTTGTCAGTAATTCTGCTATGAACATGAGTGTACAAATATCTCTTCATGACCGGGCTTTCAATTCTTTTGGATATACACCCAGAGGTAGTGTAGCTGGATCATAAGATGATTCTGTTTTTAATTTTTTGAGGAACCTCCATATTGTTTCCCATAGCAGCTGCACCATTTTACACTTCCACTAACAGTGCTCAAAGTTTCCAGTTTCTTCACATCCTTGCCAATACTTGTTATTTTCTGTTGGATTTTTTTTTCTTTTTTTATAATAGTCATCATAGTGGGTGTGAGGTGATATCTCATTGTGGTTTTGATTTGCATTTCTCTAATGAGTAGTTATACTGAGCATCTTTTCATATGCTTTTGGCCATATTTATATGTTCTTTGGAGAAATGTCTGTTCAACTCCTTTGCTTATTTTTAAATCAGGTTATTTGTTTATTGTTGTTATTGAATTGTAAGAGTTCTTTATATATTCTGGATGTTAACCCCTTACTAGATACTGTTTTTGAAATATTTACTCCCATTGTTTATGTTACCTTTTCACTCTGTTGATTGTATCTTTTGTTTGTTTGTTTGTTTGTTTTTGGTGAAGAAGATTGGCCCCAAGCTAACATCTATTGCCAATCTTCTTTCCTCAAGCAAAAAGAAGAAGATTTGCTTGAGTAAGATTGTCCCTGAGCTAACATCTGTGCCAGTCTTCTTCTATTTCGTGTGTGGGACTCCACCACAGTATGGCTTGATGAGCAGTGTGTAGGTCCACCCCGGGTATCTGAACCCAGGAACCCCAGGCTGCTGAATTGGAGTACCTGAACTTAACCACTCTGCCACCAGGCTGACCCCAATTGTATCTTTTGATACACAGAAGTTTTTCATTTTGATGTAGTCTTGTTCAGCAACTTTATTTGAAAATTCCAAGCCACCATGAAATCAGGACAGAAACCTAGCCCCCAGCATGGCCTCCATCCTGCTTTTCCTATCTCAGTGAATGCCACAGGTATGTATCCAGTTACACTAGCAGAAATCTTGATATCATGTTTGTTATTTCCCTGTCCTTCCAAATACAATCTATTACAAAATCTCATAGATTTTAACTCCTAAATATTTAAGTGAGCCAATTCCTGTCTCAGTTATTCAAAAGGACTATGTTTTACCTGCCCCAGGACCTTTATAGATGCTGTCTCCTTTCACACAATTAAGGATGACTCATTCTGCATATATCAGCTCAAAGAACACCTTCCCAGGAAACCTTCCCTGACACTCCTGTCATACTTGTCATGAATCTTTTCCTTGGCACTTTCCACAGGATAATTTAATATTTGTGAGGTGACTTGATGGATAGCTTTCTTCTCTGCCAGACTATAAATGAATGAAGGTAGAGACCACACCATGTCTCTTTTGCTGATCATTGATTTGCAATGCCTAGCACTCACAAGACTTCAGTAAATATTTGTTGGATGAATGAATAATTAGATGAATAAACGTTCTATCCCCATTTTTCTTGCAAACCTACCACTTTTTAAATTCACAGATGGATATTTAGTCCCTGGAAATGCCAGCCGTCTTCACACGCTAACAGCCACCATTCTTCATGCTGCCATCTTCTTCCCCACCTGCTTCTTCCCCCATGGTTAATTTCATTTACATTATACTAATGTAAATCATTTCTTCAATTTGACATATTAAACTTTACATATTTCATCTAATGTGGACAGAGTATATTTGTGTATGTGTTTTAGCAATGTAGAATCTTCCAAGTATTTAAGTGCTATTGAAAATTGGTGTTCCTTCTGAATTGAAGATGGACACTTTTTTGTTTTTATGCTCCTTTAGCCTAGATAGTTTTTTTTTCTTTTTCTTTTTTTTAGGTTGACTGACATATAATAAATTGCACACATTTAAAATGTGCAATTTGGTTTCTGACAAATGTATACCCTGTGAAACCATCACTGCACTCAAGATAGTGAACCTATCCCAGGTGGAGAGAGTTTTGATTGATTGGTCCCTCGGCCACTTTCTCCAAGCATTTGTCTTTAGTGGTGATACTTTTTCCCATTTAGTTTCCTCTGTAACCTCTTGGCTTATTTTTTCCTTGCAAGTTAGTTTCCACGCCTTCTATAGACATTATTTCACTTTTCTTGAAGCTTATATGAAATGGTGTTTTTTGGATGTAATAGAAAAACCAACACAATTTTTGGCCAGACTGTCTTAGGAGTATCAGAGTGATAAATTTTAAAGACGTTAATTTAAGACAGCTTACGGTGGTTGTTCTTATAGAACATATTTTAAACTTCCTCCATATTATCCAATTCTTGTTACAGAAAAATGATGCCTCTATTACCTGTATAAAGCTCAACTGCCACATGTCCCTTTTTCTGACCGGGTCAAATTCAAGGAAATATTGCTATAGTATGCAAAATTTTACTAGCAAAAGCACCTAAATTCTCTTTTCTGTTTCTCTCATTCTCAAATATCTCCCACTCTCAAATACACTTCAGATGCCTGTCTTGTGTGAGAGGTGCCCCTGCTCCCTAACAACAGACTCCTCAGGCCCACCTTCCAGTTCTGGGCCCGCAGGCTCTCTTACCTGCTTTCTCCTCCTGCTCCAGCTCAGTTCTTGATTGTGTCATCTCCTTAGCCTGTCTGGCTTTGCCCAAGTTTCCTGTTTGCCTGTTAGCCAAATTTTATTTACAAATGAGAGCCTGAGTTGATTTTCAGGGAGATGGGGAGAAAGGAGCTTGAGGGGAACGCATGAAGTATAGGGCAGGTGTATTTAGTTATTGAAACTTTAAAACATAGTATCTTTCCTTCCATCATAGAGATCTACGTTCTAATGTGTAAGATGGTATTCAGCAGTTACGGAGACTCACACTTAGAAAGAATTTCCTCCTTTAAAGTGGCTCCAGTATCCACATGTGCTTACTTATTAAATGATATGTGGTTTAGGAATTAAATCTATTGGGGATGATCTTTTCCTATTGAGTTGTTTTTACTTTCTTAAATCAAATGATCAAAAATATTGTCACTTTTTGAAAAACATTTTCAGCATGAGTAAATGCCAGAAGTTTTAATATTATAGATGTCCATTTTCAGATTTTTAATATAGAACCATTTATTTTTGTTCTTTTGAAGTTTTGCAACATTCATGATTATAATTATTGTAATCTGACAAGATTATATATGAAATTATCTATTTAACCATGTCATTACTGTATCTCGTATGGTTAAACTTAGTGTTGTTTGAGTTTATCAATTAAAAAATATATTTTCTCTTTTAATCCTAGGCAGCATGCCAGATTTTTTAAAGTGCTCAGTATGAGTGGTGACAATATTTTTACCCTAGAATATTTCAGTAGAAGATTTTTCTCTACTTTTAAGTTGTAACCTGCATAAAAATTATTTGAGTAGGTTTATGATAGCATTTATGTTAGAAACAAGAAACAAAAATAAATTATCAAAATATATATAAAGAAGAAAAATCATTATACTCTAAACTTAGAACTCTGATATTTTAGACGTAGGTAAAGATGGAATATTTGGTCAAAAGTGTGTATGTGTATCTGTTTTATCATAGCTACGTTAATTACATACATATATTGTCTTCCTAATTTAAGTTGAAACTTCATCAGGATAGGAGCGATGATGTGTATGTATTTCTTTCTACTCCTAAATCACCTAGCATGGTGCTCTAGCACATGGCAGGTGATATTCAGGAACGAGGCTTACATGTGAAGTCAGCATAGCATTGCATGTTTGATTAAGATATCTGAC